TTGGAGTTTCATAACATAATATCTTGTTGTTATTATCGTTGCCGTTTGATCTATAAAGTTGGTGATTGGTAAAACGTAGACCATCACAACGTTAGAGTAAGAATTCAGATTTAAAAACGTGTGCGATACAATCTGGACACATTTCAGAACAACTTTAATTACTTGACATCAGACATCAGAAAGTTTACCAGCAGTTGACATTGAACTCCAATATTGCTAATCAAAACGTTACCGTATGTATTTTACAAGCATAGAGACCTTTGAAGAAAGGATTTTTGAGCCTGAGCTTTAATCCATTGCACCATATCCCAATGGTAAATACACCATGTCAACCCATCACATTGCTCCGCTACTATCTACTCATATGGCTGGCCTTACGATTGAAACATCCTGATACATGTATAGAGAGATCCTGCATTGTATCTCGCGGCAGAGACCGCATATTGTGGCACCAGGCGGTAGGTTACTGTGAATGTCTAATCAGCCCAACCGGCAGAAGCTTGAAGCTGCGGATCTCCAGCTGAGATCAAAGGCCAGCCGCTACTATTACACACTCTACTTAGCAGATTTGGGGAACTCTGATAGAACAGCGGAACGGTGACCTCTATCTGTGCCTCTCTAAGATCAGAGTACGCCTGGAAAATAGACAATCGTGGCAGGGGGGTCGACGACTTACCGGATGAAGACGTATAGCACCTGCAATGGCTTATTGTATTCCCGATTAAGAACCGCGTATCATTGGAAACGATTTCTGCTAATGATTACAGTTGGAAGTCGATACCGACCCCCGTCTCCGTTCAAGGAAATTTTTTGTAACTTTTCTGTCTTTTTTTAAAACTTATTCATTGGTTTGGCTACAGTATTTTCACAGCCATGCTTAGGACAAAGGGGACTCCTGAACGTATTTCAGATTTGGTACAAGAAAGCGTAGCCTGTGTTACAAGTCAAGTCAAGTCAAAGTTTATTGCACAACTAATGTACGGATACATCGTATGGCAATTAGGGGTACTAAGTACAAATCTAAAATCTAAACTAATGCGTAAAAGAGTACTACATTCATGCTGTATATGAATCGAACTTAAGTTACATCGTACTAGTATACAAAAGGAATGGCAAACATTATACAGGGGTTCTGTAAATCTACAACTAAATACTACTCTGTCCTATACTTAAGTATTACTAGTATAATGGATATATTTACACAGGCTCTCGGTCGGAGGTTAATGACCCCCACCCCAAAGTGGAGCGCAGTCAGGCTAAAGAAAGCGTGCACCTTTGAGCCCCTTTGCTGTGTGTTTTGGGTTAAGAAGGGTTTAAAGGGTCGATAGAGATATGCTTACTATGGAAACAGAGGTTAATGAAGAGTTGAAGTGACCTACACGGCTGATTGGGTACTAAATCTGGTACTGGTTACTCCATGCGTAGATCTTACTGTAATCATATAGTAGTATGATTTTGTTATATAACCAAAATGGACATATCGAAAGCTCAGATATAGGTTGAATAGTCCTGTGTATTCATATACATTTAGGCTATATGGCAATTTGTGTTTTGAAACTTGCACATGAACATGGTTATAATTGAATGTAACGTTACAGCATATCTTCAGGCAAGTTCATCTTTATTAAGAAATGAACTCGCCGGCCTGAGCTGCCCGGATTGCGTCTCCATTACAAAAATGCAACATGTTACTAAGAGAACACTTCTAAGTGTTGTCTTAGTAACATTTGCATTTTTGGTATTTACTGTCTGACAGTACATTTGTATTTACAAATAATAAAATCACATGCTAGTTTAACAATATCACAGATGTTTGGGAAGAAAAGACCCGGGAAGAAAACAACCCATATAGTGGTGGAAAAGTTTTGTGTAAGTGTAAAAACATCTCTTGAGAATAGATTTCCCTGCACGGCAAAGTTACATGGACTTTAATGAAGTTTCTGTCGTTTCCCGAGCTGGTTTGATCGATCAACTCCTGCGGCGGAATTGTACCGCGTACGCCCGGGGCAGAGTCGGCTTAGGGGTCAACTGATCTTAATCCATCAAATATTTTTAGCCGGGGTTAAAAGTGAGGTCGGAGTCGCAGTGGCTTGGGGCAAGGCTTAAGTGAAGTTCAATTCTGGAAGAAGTCGTGTTGGGGAGGTATTGGTTTTTTGCTCAGTGGGCAATAATGTGGCTACCGTATTGTGGCGGTTTAAGGCTCCAATGACGGAATCAAGAAGTCAATGTTTGAGTCGTTCCTTTAGACAATAAGTCGGATCTACAAGTTAACGGGATATCTAGCGACATTAACTGTTCATTTTTGGTAGTAGATAAATTCTTTAAATGTGTTGAATGACCTATATATGTTTTTAAAATGTGATAAAAATAAGGCACAATTTTGTCTGGAAAATACTTCCGATTGGAGATTCCAATAGTTCAATCATACATATGCATATCACAATATACTTGGGACATACAGTAAAAAAAATTCATAGCTCCACCAGACTCCATTGGATGTTGAAAGTATATATATTAGGAATCGTCGGTAGGAATAGGCAGTCTCTAGCCGACTAACTCCTATAGCAAGTCATCCATCCTGTTTGCCCCATGTTCAACGCTATTTCATCATCAAACGAAGTCTGCTGAAGACTATAGGGGCGTCCAGAGAACCGCTTTCCTCTGAATCCCTGACCGAACTGTTTGTAATGCATGGACTCTTCCTTTGATCGCTGGCCAAACACAGTCAAGATAACAGAGTTGGCGTGAAGCCAAATTACTCCCAGGTTGTGTCATCGCTCTTCCAGTAGATGTTTCGAGAAGACTTTTGATTTACTTTCCGAAAATGTGAAACGAACGCAAAATGGATGTTTTAACAAGACCGTGGGGACCGCTAAAGTTTAACCAAGACAATCAATTCGTCGTTCCTAAAGTCTCAAGCCACTCTTGTCCGTAAAGATATATTTCTTGTCGGTTTATCCTGTACACGAGAGATAAAAGCGGCGTGGGCGTCTTGGTGCATGCTGGTATGAATAATGAGCTGTTCAACCTTCACCTTAAAAGTTACTTGAACCACTTCAATAGATGAAACTCATCCCTTCGTTTTCGGAAAGGCCACAAAAAGTCCTCGGATATTTGCAAAAATTGGCCAATGGTGAATCAAGTGATTGGAGGGCTGTACGTTGATTTGTATTTCCTGAAATGATCAAATAACGTCCTTTATTTTGATTTAGAGCGTCTCCAACTTTAACTTTATCCTACGGCTCTGTGCCCGATCACAAGAGTTATGAGTGAATACGAGTTAACACGCGAGTAAGGATCATGTCAGCGTCAACTTTCATAAATCCACCGAGAACGCTAAGGCCGCCACGTAAAAGAAAACGGTGAATTTAAAGAAATCTACTAATACTCGTAGCATCAGTTATCCCCAAGGCCTCGATAACGCTGTCATTTTTTTTAATATAGTGATCTTCTTAGGGCGCCAGTAGAATTATGAGACTTGACGTTAACTTTGAGAGGATAAACATATAGCATACGCGGGATAATATTACGAATGAACTGCCATCTGATACGACATGATCGTAATCTACTTTGATTGGAACAGATTGGAAACGCTTCCAGCGTAACACCGTAATAATTCAAAATTGCGAAGCACAAATTTGCCGCGGCGATCATAAATAAAAAGGATTAAGAATGTAATACCTTGTTATTGCAAAACAGACATCTTTCATTGCCAAGGACGAGGGTCAATGACCTGTAGTTTAAAGACGCCGTGGATCTTAACCCTTGTCCTGCTGGCATTCCTGGCACAATATTTTTCAAAAATTTCATGTCTTAATTAGATCATAAGAAACCCAATTTTTTTTGCCCTGCGGTGGCACAGTTACTTCCGCATTCGTTGCGTTTCGCTGCGGTGTGATGCGTTGCACGAGAAATACCCCCAAATCGTATCTATACAGGGTGTTATATAGATGGTACTGTATGTGCCGCGCGACATATGTTGCGCACAGCAGGACAAGGGTTTTAAGAACCGTCTGTCTCTACAGACCAGGCAGTAAAGGCTCCAATCTTGGCAGGCAGTATTGCCTTCATACATCACACGCTACGGGCGTCTTTCAAGTAGCTCGTATATATGTCGGCTCCATTTTATCACGACAGTATCTCTTAGCCGCGAGCCGAGCAAATAGACGAGGCGTTCCCTTCTTCTGTAACTGGTTTACTAACTTTTCAGACATTTTCTGTCGAATTTTGAGGTTATATATTGAGGTTTATATGTCGAAGTCGAAGTTCGTTATATATTACCCCTCCGTCCTCACACTATCTCAGACAATGTACGTCTTTAATCAATGACATATATACACGTGAGTTTATTAATTTCTTTCTTTACTTGCAAAGAACGTGCCAAATAAGTTGGGACCCCATGAATTGGCCGAAACCAATATAAAAAGTAAAGTATGGCGCATAAGTACTGGAATATTGCCCAGCTATATTTTATAGCCATTTTGTCTTATTTCGGTCAGTATGAAATCATAAATCAATCTGAACAGTAAATATTTCTTGAGGTTGCATCCAAGATTCATTGAAATGTCAACTGCAGGCAAATACACGAACAGCTATACATGTCACGCCTTTATCGGGGTTTCTCTCTTGCACTGGAATTTTTTTCTCACCCAACCCAACCTCTGCCGGCAGTCGAAAGCTTCAATGTGCCATAAACCTAATCACTTCAACACATTACAGTCGTTCTGCAAGAAGGTGTGATAATTTGATGGTTTCCGGGGAGGAGCACTGTCACCTTTCTTGAATAGATTTGCCCCGCCCCGGGGTGAGTGCCGGCAGAGGTTGGGTTGGGTGAGAAAAACTTCCAGTGCAAAAGAGAAACCCCGATAAAAAAAGCCTAAAAACACGACTAAAAA